TCCTTCCAGTCCTGCTCCAACCTCGACTTTTCTGACTGCTTTTTCTCCTGATAGAATTCTGTCACGATTTTCCAGCCCTTTTGGGGACTCTCACACGCCAGAATTAAGCTCTGAATCGGGGGATACAAAACCTTGCTGATCAGGATATTTCACAGTTTGAATGACTTGTCTATCACTTCATTCCCAAAAAATCTCCGAAGGTCTCCTATATTCACACCCCTTTTTCCGACCTTGACCTCGACCTCCAGTTCCAACGCATCATGCACACCCTCCTCCTGAAAATACGAATTCATCTTACTACGAAAAATATCAAACATATTGTACAAATCCTGCTCATTCTTCACGCTACCAAGCCAAGGTTCTATTTCTGAGCCAGGATTGACACGTAACGTGCCTGAGCGGGCAAAGCCCTGTTGTTCAGCGATGGCCTCAGCTGTCGCCTTGGCCGCTTGCGCCACGATGTGTGCGACGCTGCTGGGGTCGTTGAAGGTAGCTGTTTTACCCTGGCTGGAGGGTGATGGCTGGCTACCGGTAGGTGGGACTGGGTTGCCGGCTGATGGTGGTTGGGCGTAGGTGACTTCACCCTCGTTGATCCTGTTTGCTTCAAGTTCGGCTTGTACTCGTTGCTGGACGATCTCCTCCACTTTTTGCTGTAGTTCTTGCTCGCTAAGGGCGGAGAGGTCGATGCCCTCCATGATTTATGTTGTTATGGGAGTCTACCTATTGCGCGTGACTGCACAACCAACCCCCGGAAGGCTACGCCCGCGCGCAGATACCGTGATATCGTCGCACTAGTGTAAAGGGTAAACTACGCGGGGTGCAGCAAGCACGTTCTGGACGTTGCTTTGGGGCACTGGGTAGTCGGCCGTGTTAGGCCGAGAGAGAGAGGTTGAGAGAGAGATGGAGAGAGAGTGGGAGAAGGAAACTTGATTGGAGAGAGACGGTGGTGGTGGTGGAGAGAGAGGGAAGAAGAAGTGCGCAGCACGCACGCAAGCCTTCCTCATCATCGCACCGACCACGCCCAAAGGGTCCCCGTGACTACGCCGGTGGTACCCTTCAACACACGAAATTCCCAACACGTGTCCCCCTGGGATCCTCACGACCAGATACTGCTGCGAGTTTATCTATCATGCTGACCTAACCAGTCGGTCCTGTCGTGTACACAGCCGTCAGTACCCTACACACACCGTCGGTTCCGAACAGAAGATAATCTGACAGTTACTCTGAGTCCAAAATAACGCCACGAGAACTAGACTGAAACCCATTATCACCACATCAGCCCACCCTGATCATAGATCAATCTAACTAAGAAGATTGTGCTTATGAACAACACCTGGTAGGTGAGATAGTACCTGCTCGCATCTACTTCCATTATAAAGCTGCTCCCATCCTGCATGTTTCGACGTACAGAATACCCTGAATATATCCGAGTCTTGAGTACATTAGTTAACTGATTTTCTGAATTGTTCCATACGACACACAAGTCACACCAATAAACTGACACCACAGAACAACACATTGCAACATACAACTTCAACCACACAACAACCCATGATTCACACACCAAAAACAAGCAATTGAACATCAAGGCCACCACCGACTATGAAAACATCGAGGCGGGGCGTTTACATCCCTATCAAACCATAGTTACCGCTAGGTCAGAAGGGACCATATCGTTTACTAGTAATTCTTTGTAATTTCCGCCTCGTTTCTTCTGGTCCAGTCAGAAAAAACAGTTGATCTTCTTTCTTGTCCTCGTGCCGACGATTTTCAATCCATAGTGTATCGGAAGCTCTTCACGCTGTCTCTCCCTCGTAACCTCGTGTGTACGTGCCAGCACCAAGTTCCAGGCTCTTCGTCGAATGTTTTGAGATTCTCCAGCTTGAGGTGAACATTCTCTTGTCTCGCGAGATCCAAAATCTTGATTGTATGATGATGTTCCACACTCTCGCCATCTTCCGCCACCATCGTTACCTTAGCAATCTGCCATCCGGAATCACGCGTTTTGGAATAAATGTATGATCCGATTATGTCAGTGCCATATAAGGTGGGTCGCTCGCGAGTGTCGCAGCAGACCCTAAACCCCTCAGCAACATGTCTTCCTCCAGTCAGTCGTGCAGCAGCCCTCTTAGCACACTGTACTCGATACCTCCGGTATTTAGCATTCTCTCCACCGACCAACTAAATCTTGCCGGTCCAATACCGCATTACAAGATTTCCATATTGCATCAATTCCTCTTCATGTTCCCATGTGCAAAGTTTGGTCTCGTCCAAATGAGTAAAATATTGAACAGCAATCTTTCGATAATCCTCGCACCAGCCGATGCTTAGAAATCTTCCAAGGAATGTTTCGATGCCTGTCCAAATTCAACTGCACATCTGCATCTGTCAGATGGTAGGGTGGTGATAGCTCCGAGTATTTGTTGAGGACGTACTTACTCATTGCCCAAGGCAAAAGGTTTGGTTTGTCTGTCTCTGAATGGAGGTAAAAACACTTACTTGACCCTCAACACAGAAACTCTAGAGGTGATATCCTTTCCAGGTTCATCTTTCCTCACATCAAGTAAAAACAATTTTGGTCCCACCTTTCGGCCATCTGGAGCAGTACCGGGCCCAACGAATAATATTTTATATGGCCCCGTCCAGCAATAAGCCAGTTTAGCCAACAAAGCAAAAGACTTTCGGTCTCCCGATTCAAGATCTTGGGGTTTTAGAACATGTTTTCCTCCTCCGGTAACAACACTTTGTTCATTGTACAGCCACACCCAATCTCCTTCAATTTTTGGCCTTCGATTCCCTATTTTCTCCTTTAGGGCTTCGTATTTATTTTCATGTTTTGCCTTTATCAACCTGTCCTCCTCTTTGACCAATTGGTATGCCTTGATTTGTCTCTCCCGCATCAGCTTGAGGTAATCCAACTGATCCTGCCTCAGGCTTTGGANCCACACCCAATCTCCTTCAATTTTTGGCCTTCGATTCCCTATTTTCTCCTTTAGGGCTTCGTATTTATTTTCATGTTTTGCCTTTATCAACCTGTCCTCCTCTTTGACCAATTGGTATGCCTTGATTTGTCTCTCCCGCATCAGCTTGAGGTAATCCAACTGATCCTGCCTCAGGCTTTGGAGACCTTTCACGCCACGACCTTCCAAAATCGTCATGGGTAACCTGGTATACCGGCCGTTATGCACTTCGTTGGGGGACAAACCCGTTCCTCTACTGACATTGTTGTTATGGGCTGCAATAGCAATTCCCAACCTCTCATCCCAATTTTTCTGATAATGTGAAATCAGAGGCAACATCTGACAAAGAGTATGGTTCAACCTCTCCACCATGCCATTTGTTTGCGGATGATAAGCGCTAGTAAAAATCTTTTCAGTCCCCTGCATACGATAAACCGCTCTGCTAACAGGGGCAGTAAATTCTGTACCTCTGTCAGACACAAACGTATGAGGACATCCCCACTTTTGAATGTACTGATTTACCAGTACAAAAGAACATCCTTGGGCTGTCTTCTCTTCGGCGGTCAATGCATATGCTTCACCATATCTGCTGAATAAATCCACCACTAGGAACACATACTGCTTTCCATTCTGAGTTTTAGGTAAAGGGCCTAAAAAATCAAAAGCCACCTGTTTGGGGTGCTCGGCAGGGTATACTGTCTACGGGGCCTCCGGGGGGTACACGGATGGAATGTATTGACGGACATGCTGCATGGCGATGGTGTGGCCTACCGCATGTCTCTTACCCTCTAAGCAACAAGGTCTTGAGTCGACCTTCTTTCTCTTTCGGCCTCTGACGAGCTACCGCACCCAAACACAATATATTGTAAGGCCTGGTGTTGGTAGTGGGTATTGGCGTCTGAGCGGTGGGAGCTGGGCCATCGGGGCAGCGGACACCATTTTCATAGCTGGGATCGCGGCCAAAGGGGGCGAGGACAGCAGTGCATAGCTGGTGCGGTGGCCATTGCGGGGACCGGGACAGCAGGGTTTATAGCTGGGACAGCACTTCGAGGCTGGGACAGCAGGGAGGGTTTAGAGTTTTAGTTTGATATGTCTGGAACGGAGGAGGACGCAACTCTGAGCGCGAGGTTGGACGAGGCGCTACGAGCTGTAGAGGAGGCCAAGGCTGAGACGAAGGAGGCCAAAGCTGAGACGGAGGAGCTGGGCAGCACAGCGGCGGTCAGCGGGTGCACCTGCCGGCAGCAGCTCAGGAGGCGACGGTCTAGTTGCTCCTGGAGGGGCTTCATCTGCACCGGTGAGGCCAATGTGGCCAGGCGGGGTGAGTCATGATGGCGGTACTGGGGTGCCGGGTTTGCCTCTGGGAGGTACAATTGTCAGAACTCCTGTGCCTAGAATCCCGCCTAATTGCACCGCCGACACTTTTCTCAGTTGGCGGAGACGCTTTCTGGCCTACGTGGACAACCACAATCTCCAGCACACAATCTTCGGCAGTGCTGAGGTTCCCGTTGTCAGTTGTCAGGATGAAGGATACTTGACACGCCAGTATGGTGCACAGCTGGTTGTTGAGCACAAGAGGACATGGAGTTTTATCTTGGAGGCAGCGGTGGGGGCCCCATTTGAGAACAACCTGTACTCTTGCCATTCCGTGGCAGAGGCGTGGAGGATGATGGAGGATTGGTATTTGCCGAACCACCCAGCTGATTGTCAGCTCCTCGTCGTCGAGCTAGATAATATAACCATGAGTGATGATGAGGACCCCAAGCTTTTCTTCTCGCGCGTCGCACAACTGGAGACCAAGTTACGGGCTGTGGGCATTGCTAAGAGTGACCAGGAAGTTGTGCAGATCCTTGTGCGCCAACTCCCCGCACGCTACGATGTCGAGAAGCGCACTAGTCTTTCCAAGCGTGATTTAACCCGCGCTGAGTTGCAGGACGTCGTGCGTGGTCGATATGCCACGCTCAAGGCCAGCGAGATGAGGGAGCGAGGGTCGGCAGCTTCGACGCCGGCGGTTTCTGTCAACCCCCATGCTCTTGTTGTGGGCCGTGGTTTTGGACACGGCGGCAACGGGGGGAGCGGGGGGGGCGGAGGCCAACGGCGGAATGGCAACAACTGCGACGGCCGCGGGCAACACTGGTCCTCTGGGGGCGGTGTTGTCCAACAGCAACAGCCGCAGTTGCAGGTGCAGCAATACCGGCAGCCGCAACAGCCGCAGCGACACATGCAACAGCCGAACCAACAGCCGCAGCGGCAGGTGCAACAGTCGTACCCACAGCCGCAGCAGCAGATGCGACAGCAGCAGCCGTATCAACAGCAGTCGCAGATGCAGCCGTACCGGCAGTCGCAGCAGCAGCCGCAGCAGCAGCGGCAGCTGCAACAGCCCGCTTTGAACGGTGTTGGTGGAATCTACGATTGCGGTAGTAATGCCGTGTATCATCAGCCGGAATCACTACCTCCACCTGGCGCGCCGATGGGCACAGTGCACAGATGCGGCCGCTGTGGAAGGCACGGTCACCACGCCATAGATTGCGCCGCCCCCCGCAGGTTCGAGGGCACGTGCGGTGCATGCGGCCAGTACGGTCACATGTGGCGCAACTGTGCCAAGAGCAACCGGCACCCCCACCTCAACGTCGTCACTTCTGCTGGTGCCCTCGGTCCGGAGTACGCGTACACCGCCGCGGATACATCGGCCGTCCAATTTCGTGATGTCCCGGCGGCCGATGGCGTATACTACAGTGACACCATGCTGGCCGGCGCTGGTGGCGGCGGCAACGGTGGTGGTGGTGCTGGCGGTGGTGGCAGCGGCGGTGACAATGGCGGTGGTGGCGGTGGAGCGATCGTACAGCAGCAGGTAGTGACACCGGGCGAGCCCTACTTTGGTTTTGTCGACATTTTCCACGGCAGCGGTGGCGTGGAAGGTGAAAATGGCGGCGGCAGCGGTGGTAGTGACGCGGCGGGAGCGGGCCCTGAGGCGCTTGGCAACGGCGAGGGTACCTTCGGTGGCGGTCTCTTCGCGATGCACCTTGTCTGTTCCGTTACCTCATCCCCCCCCGTGCGCGAACCATCCGACCTTTTCCCACATCGCCCGGGTTCGACGGTCTTCCTTGGAGACACCGGCGCCGTAGTCCACGTGGTCCCTTCTGGGGAAAAGGTGTACAACAGGCGCCCG